GCTTGGTGTTGATGAGCCAGTGCACGAAGTCCTTGGCCTTCATCTTGTCCAGGTAACGGGTGAAGTCGCTGGTGAAGGTTCCTTCCGAGTGTCTCTTGATGTTGGACACCAAGTTCTGGGCACTTTGTGGCTCAAATGAGTGCCTTCTGCTCGGGATGGGGCAGAAAACGTGGCTTAATGCACATGGTGCATCCTGCACCCTGCCCGCATGAGGTCCCTGGGCACAGGCTCTGTCCTCTCTTGACTGTGTGGAGCATCCTCCAGAGAAGCTCTAATAATCCACATAAGTCATTTCCCAAGGGGGTCAGCCCAGCCTGGCCAGGGTTGTTCCTGACATCATATGGGACATCTGATCCCATAATATTTGCATATTATTGTCTTGCTGGGCTGTGGTGGGTTTGTGCCTCCAACCTGCTGCTCCTGGAAAGGAGGGTGGTGCTGCCCCGAGGTGTCTTATCAACCCCTCCAGGATGGAGAGATGATGTTGGGGTCCCTCCTGTCCCAAACTCACCCCAGCAGAAGGTCCCCAATGGGTTTTCCTTCTCATGGAGCAGGGCTCAGTGTCCTGCCCAAAGCATCCTGCCCAAAGCATTGCCCCATCCTGGCTTTGCCCTGCCGCATCCCAGTGCGTCCCATCACTGGTCTGACCCAGCTGAGAATTCCTGGGGGTTGGACATGGCAATATCCCTGCCTGTGCTGGGAGAGCCAGGAGGGAGCGTGTCCGGAGCAATGAGAACGGGAATGCTGCAGGAGTGAGGCAGCGACAGCAACGGCTGAGCTGCTCTGACAGCCCCTGCCCATGGCAGCATCTCCCGGACCAGCTCCACCAACATTCCCTACCTGGATGTGTCATCCAGGTCCTGGGTGCCCATCGGCCACCCTGTGGGGATCAGCACGGCCAACAGCAGCCCGCAGAGGTTCAGCCACCGCACGACCTGCATTGGTCCTCCTGGAGAAGGCAAAATCAACGGACACGTCCACATCACGATAGAGAAACCACCACCACTGACCCCCCCCCGGCCCCGCAGCGTGGCACGGGACAGGTCCAGCTTGAGACACCCTCTGTCCTGGCGTCCTGGCAGCGTTTGGATGGGTGCAATGGGAAGTGCAGCCTCACAATTCCCTGTCGGCACCTCTGCCATTGCTTCGGAGCAGGCACAGAGCCCCAAGGAGGGGTTTAGCTAATCTAAAGATAGAATTCATTGCAAAAAACCTTATCACGATCTCTATCCAGGAGCACTGTATCTATCCAGGAGCCCTGTTTCTATCCAGGAACACTATTTCTATCTTGGGCTTGTCCCTAGGATGCTGGGGAACTTCCCTGACCATTCCCGGCTCAGAAAAGCAGTTCCAGAAGAGCTGAGTATTGAGTCTGACATTCCTTATCCTTGCTGGATGCTTTTAGCCATTCAGGGGGAGTCAAATTCCAGCCCCAGCCTCTTATTTCCTGATAATCAGACTTTGGGTTGCCCATCACCAACCATTCACACAACTCAGGTTTGATTTCTTCCCAAGACTGGTAGTAAAGAAGGGAAGAAAAGACTTTGATTTCTTCCGAGATTGGTGGTAAAGAAGGGAGGCAAATGGTTTAATCCCGAGATTGGTGGTAAAGAAGGGAGGAAAAGGCTCTTACCTTGCGCAAAGCCCCGTTCCCCTCCAAGCAAGATCTCCAACTCCACCTTCCAGCAGGTTGTGGCTGCGCTCTTCCCCTTCCCAGCGCTTTTAAGCTTGTTAGGAGGATGCTGCGAGCTGACGGGGAGGTCACTGCTGCTCCTGCTTGGAGCTGGATGGGTCACTCTGCATCATTACAGCAGTCTCGGAAGTGGGGCCGCTGCAGGAAAGGTTGTTGCCATGTTTCCAGCTGACACCTTCAGCGGGAGTTGGGGCTTTCGTTGTTGTTGCTCATTCCCTGCTCTGGTTGTGCCACTTCTTGGCCGAAAGGAGTGACCTGTGTGTTTCCTCCTCTCAGGTGAGATGGCCCCTCATTGCCACAGCGGCTCTTGCAAGGAGCAGTGATTTCTCTGCCCTTTCACACCCCTCTGGTTTGAGTTAAAACACGTGAAGAAATAAAGCAGGAGGAGAAGTGTCGAAGAAGCATTTGGGTGCCTGAACCCTGCTGCGTCCTGCGGGGTAAAACCCGGCTGAGCCGGACAGACCCCTTGGATCCAAGCCTGGTGTTGTCCCCCAGGTTCAGGTGTGGAATTGGGGCTGTTCACCCTCGTTTGGTGATGGTTGTTCACCAGCAAAAGGAGAGTGAGCAGCAGGTCCTGGAGGGGATCCTGCCCCTCTGCTCCGCTCCGGTGGGACCCCACTCACAGCACTGGGTGCAGCTCTGGTGTCCTCAGCATAAGAAGGACATGGAGCTGTTGGAGCAAGTCCAGAGGAGGCCACGGGGATGCTCAGAGGCTGGAGCAGCTCCCTTATGGATACAGGCTGAGAACATTGGGGCTGTTCAGCCTGGAGAAGAGAAGCTGCTGGAGACCTCAGAGCAGCTTCCACGGTCTGAAGGGGGCTACAAGGATGCTGGAGAGGGACCTTCATCAGGGACTGGAGTGACAGGACAAGGGGTGATGGGTTCAAACTGAAACAGGGGAAGTTCAGTTTCAAATGAACTTGGATTGGTTGGAGATAAGGAAGAAGCTCTTCCCTGGGAGGGTGCTGAGGCGCTGGCACAGGGTGCCCAGAGAAGCTGTGACTGCCCCATCCCTGGCAGTGTTCAAGGCCAGGTTGGACACAGGGGCTTGGAGCAACCTGCTCGAGTGGAAGGTGTCCCTGCCCGGGGCAGGGGTTGGAACTGGAGGAGCTTTAAGGTCCCTTCATCCCAACCCATTCCATGGTTTCTTGAATTCAGGGGTGCTGGGAGGCACCATGGCTGCTGGAGGGTGTCTGCAGATCCCGGTCAATGGCCTCTCCAAGGCCAGCCCAGGAGCTGGGGGAACATGTCGAGCTCCTCAGGCCAAGGAGAACAGTTTTGCAGGGGGAGCTCCTGGGAACTGGGCTCGTTCATTTGAATCCCCAAGTCCAGTGAAGGACAATGAGGCTGGAGAAGAGCAGAAGTGAGGGTGGCCTTAAGGAACCCGCCCTGGCCCTGGAGAGGACGGTGCTGACACAAAGCAAAGCCCTCAGCTCCCTGGCGCTGTGGGAGCTCAGGTGAACCTCTGAAGGCTGCTCCTGGGCCTCTCTGGGGCAGTTTGGAGCTCCTGGCTATGGAACATCCGTGGTTCAGTGCTCAGGGGACCCAAACGTGCCCCTTTCACAGACACATGGTCACCGGGCAGAGAAAAGCTGGACCACGCTTCCCCTTCATCCAACAGCAGCCCCAGAGGAGATGAGGGCTCCAGGTCCTCAGTTCTCTGTCGCTTTCTGTGCTCCCCACTGGGACCTTTCTGCTTGTGGCTGGGTAATTATTATTGTGCCACCAAAGAGCTTTCTGCAGCTCCTGTCACTGTCAGAACGGGGCCACTCGTCTTGAAGAGCCTTTTAATTAGGGCCTCACGAGGGAGCCTGTCATCGGAGGGGCTTAATTAGCTCAACCTTCCAGGAGAGGTCCAGGTCTCGCCCCCATCACTTGCACAGATGTTTATTAATGCCACCAGCTGAGCTCACACTGGTTCTGGTTGTGATGTGCCCCCTCCCCGGCCCAGGAAGACACACGAGGAACCTGCAGTGCTCAGCTCAGCCAGCACAGAGCCTGCTGTGGTGCTGCTGGGTCTTCCCAGTGGTGCCTCCCACGTCAGAGTGTGATGGAGACATGTCCTACAGGAACTTTCCCACTGACATGGTGGTATCCCCAGTGTCCTCTGTGGCCCTTCCCTTTCTGCCCATTGAGTTGCTGATGGCTCTCCCACCCTGGAGGACCACATCATGGGGGCATGAAGCTGTGTTATGAGATGATAGAGTAGTTTGGTTTGGATGGCACCTTCAAAGCTCATCTGGTCCAACCCCTTTGCAGTGAGCAGGGACACCTTCAGTTAGATCAGGTTGCCCAGAGCCACGTCCAGCCTGGCCCGGAACGTGTCCAGGGATGGGGCATCCACCACCTCTCCGGGCAACCTGACGCGCACGAAGAGCCGGATTTTGTGCCATTGTCCGACTTGGAGAGTGTTGGTGGGCAGCAGGTGGCAGCCTTCCTCTGCCAGGGAGACACGGGCTCCACCACGCTGGAGGAGACCTTTCAGCTCATCCCGTCCAACCATTCCCAGCGCTGCCGAGGCCACCACTAACCCCTGGCTCTGAGGGTCTCATCTACCCGGGGTGTGAACACTTGCAGGGACGGTGCCTCCAGCCCTGCCCTGGGCAGCCTGTTCCAATGCCTGAGCACCCTCTGGGCACGGAATTGTTCCTCAGCTCCAGCTAAACCTGCCCTGGGGCAGCTTGAGGCTGGTTCCTCTCGTCCCATCCCTTGGGAGCAGAGACCAGCCCCCTCCTGGCTCCATCCTCCTGTCAGGCAGTTGCAGAGAGCGATCAGGTCCCCCCCTGAGCCTTCTCTTCTCCACACTAAACCCCCAGGTCCCTCAGCCCTTCCCCATCACACTGTGCTCCAGCTCCTCTCATTGCTCCTCACCAGCAGGAGCTGATGGTGATTTGGGGTCAGTGACGGTCAGATCAGAGGCTCTGTCCTTTCACCTGGGTCAATCAGTGCATTTTGCTCCTTCCTAAACCCCATCAATCAGCCTCGACAGGATACAGGGCACCTGGTTGAGCTCTCGCTGCCTACAAAGGCTGCAGCTGAGCCCATCCAGGGCTTTAGCACCGTGAGTTTGCTGTTCCTCCTGCTCCCTGCTCATCCCTCCAGACACTCTTTGGCCGTCCCTTGCTCCCAGTGTGATGCTCTGCACTGAAAGGTGAGTGCTTCATTCTCCCTTCCGGAGGAGAGCGGATGCTGAGGGCTCTGCTGTTGCCATGAGGTGGTTTGGAGCAGGCTCAGCACCTCGGGGTACCCTGGCCCAGCACCAAGCCACTGCTGGTTCATGCTGGGACCCTGCGGGAGCTGAACTGGGGCAGCTCTGGGCAAGTGAAGCTGTGAGTGTGTGAGGAGCATCTGTGGTGGTGCCCATGGGGTTGGGGTTGGGGTTGGCTCAACACCTCGGTGCCTGCCAAAGCCTTCATGTAGGGGTAGGGTTGGTTTTGAGACAAAGGGAGATGGTGGGAAGGGCTTGTTCCTGCTCAATATCCCCTCTCGGATACGGCTCATTTCTGCTCAATGTCCCCTTGGCTTTGAAATATGGAGAACTCCATCAGGTTTATTTTCTCACCTGCTTCTTCTTCCTGCCCGTGATGCTCTCGAGATCCTGTCTCAAGAGACAAGTTACCATTGTGCATGGCCTGAAACAGCCTCGAATAGAGCCTGGAGCTAATGTGGCCGAGGTTTTCATTTCAGCCTCTTGATTTCAATGGGCCCTCACCAGGTTTGTGTGTGATTAAACAATCCTGCACCTCTCAGCACTGCAAAAACTCCCTCTTGGAGCCCTTCTTTGGCTGTTTGCGATGGCTTTTACCTTGGCAGCGATTGTTGGCAATGGGCTGCTGAAACCTGAGCGGGCCATAAATAAAACCTGCTTTGCATCCAAATGCACCAATTAATCCTGGGTGTGTTGCTGCAATTAGATGACAAATTATGCCTCCAGATTCACTTGCCTGTTTAGATAGAGAAGCTGTGTTTGCTCAGCCGGGGCAGGCTGCCCATGGCTTTCCATCTACCCCAGGGGATGTGGAATGATAAAGTGGGGAGCTGCAGGACTCGGACCCTTTGGCCTCAGCTCCTTCACCTGCAGCCTGGAAGCTTGTCTGCTGCGTGCACTGTGCTCTGGGGCTGGTTTGGGTTGTCTGAGCCCTCTCCTATTCCAAGTGCAGAACTTACTCTCGCAATGCTCAGGGCTTATACGGGAGCCGTGTGTGGTTCTGCTGCCCTCAACATGGACATGGAGCTGTTGGAGCAAGG